TTACCAAATAATAATATATTTGTAGTTGCTTGTGCTTGAAAGGATTTTTCTCTCTTTCTTTGTTGCTTTCTTTTTTTTTTTTTTTTTTTGGTGAGGCAACTGGGGTTAAGTGACCAGGGTCACACAGCTATTAAGTGTTAAGTGTCTGAGGCTGGATTTGAACTCAGGTCCTCCTGACTCCAAGGCCAGAGTTCTATTCACTGTACCATCTAGCTGCCCTCTCCTTTAAAAAAAAAAATACAAAAAAGAAAAACAATATGAATACTTCATTTCTAGATCAAGTTCTTAAAAGTTTTTATAATTTCTATATCAAGATGTCCATCCCTATCTCTCTTGATATTCTCTCAGTTACCTAGCTTCAAAACCTCAGAATCATCTGTGACTCTTCACTGTCAGTTGTTCTTTAGCAAAATCTGACTCTCCTTTCCGTTCACAATGCTGTCCTCATTATCTCTTGCTTGTACTATTGTAAGAGCCTTCTCTCACTACTCTCCCTACCTCCAGTCTCTCCTCTCTAATCCATCCTTCATGAAGATGAGAAATTAAAATTCTCTCAAAGTCTGTCTAAGTTCATGTTTGTTGTTTCCACAACACTATCCATCCGTCTCATCCTCTGCTGTCCTCTGTTCTTTTTCCCTTCAGTCTTTCCCAACATCAGGGTCTTTTCCAGTGAATCCTGTCTTGTCATTATTTGGCCAGGTATTCAAGCTTTAGCTTCAGTGTTTGACCTTCCAATGAATAACCTGAATTAATTTCTTTAAGTACTGACCGATTTGATCTCCTTGCTGTCCAAGAGACTCTCAAAAGTCTTCTTCAGCTCCATAATTCAAAAACGTTGATTCTGCAGTACTTGGCTTTCCTTATAGGCCAACTCTCACAGCCGTGCATTGCTACTGGAAAAACCACAGCTTTGACTTTATGAGCCTTGGTGATGTCTCTGCTTTTTAATATGCTTTCTAGATTTGCCATAGCTTTCCTTCCAAGGAGCAATAGATTTATAAAAATGTAAAACAATGCCACTTTTCTCACTAATTTTTAATAATTAAGTTATTTTTCATAAAAATAATACATATGTTCACGTGTAATAGGTTTACTATTGTTATTTAATTTTTTTAATTTACCAGTTTTAGTTTCTGGCATGATAAATATTAATGGATATAATGTGGCTTGTGGGAACTACTTGTTAAATTTTCAATGTATTTCACCCTTCCCAAAAGCTTGATTGCTATCTCCAATGACTGTTGTTTTGCTGATTTTCTAGATGTAAAGCAATGGAAAAATGTTTATTAATATAGATTAAACTTAAAGGTGTGTTCTGCATGTATTTTGCGGGGAGTGCCAATTATTGAATATTTACCAGCATAACACTGGAGATAACTTAATACATAAAAGTTCTTTGGGCTCCTCAATAATTTTTTAAGAGTATTTTTAAGAGTCCTGAGATCCAAAAATTTGATATCTACTGCTATACTAGAAGGGTTCTTAAACTTTTTGTGTTTTTTAGGCCCTTTTAATAGTCTCATGAAGCCTATAGACCCCTTCTCAGAATAATATTTTTAACTGAAATGAAATAAATTATATTGTAAAGGAAACCAATTGTTTTGAAATAGTTATCTAAATATATATTTTTTTAAGTTCATAGTTAAGAGCCCCAGCCCTAATAATATGCGTGAATCTGTGGTCTCAGCCCTTCGGGAGTTCCTTCCAGTAATGCAAATCTCAACCCATTCTTTCCTACCCCTCCTGAGTGATTCTCATCTGTATTGTCTCAAAGATTCACATAAGCATGTTGGTCCATCCCACATGCCAAAAGTGTTCCCTACTTTCTTCTAACATTGAAAAGATCTCGGTGGATGGAGACTCTGGATGTTAACCTATTATTCCTTATACTCACTATCCAGAGGAAATGGATGAACATATCCAGATGGATGAACAATTTCTATTGCCCAAATTTTACCCCACGGCTGAATGAATAACTTTGTAGTATGTATATCTGGGACAGATGATACAGATTGACAGTGAGCTGGGCCCAGAGCTGAAGAGGAAGAAAGCAGGCTGGATTGCTTTTGGGAAATTGCAGAACTCTTTTACAAAACCCAGCCTTCCCGAGAAAGCAAAGGCCTATCTTTTATCTTTTCAATCTAGACATATTACTAGTGTAATATGGCAGCAAGATCTGGAACTCTACTGAATCCAAAAAACTAAAGATGAGTATCATACAAAGGGCAATGGAAAGATGCATGGTGGGTGTGACCAGGTTGCAACATAAAACCAACTGTAAACATGGAGAACAAGAGTAAAGGATGTCGTTAAGGTATTGTATGACAGGAAAGGGAGATGAGTTGGTCACATGGCATGTAATATATAGTAGCTAAATTTGGAACATAATGTAAGTTTTCTATGAGCCAGAGAGCCCAGAAAAAGTAGCTTGATTTGTTATTCCACTTAATTTGTTCTTTACTATATTAATGTTTTTAGCATTAGGCTTCTGTAGCCATCTATATAAGAGGATATTTTCCAGTCTGTACCCAGCTATAAAGTTGTATTGATGTTGCAACTTCCATTTCTGATTCTAACTTCTAACTCCACTACTCAACTCAGGATCATAATAAATCCATTGTTTGAATGAGTGCAAATGAATGAAATGTAAAGTGCTTACTATGAATAAGTGAGGCAGCTAGGTGGCACCATAGATAGAACTATGGACCTAGAGTCAGGAAGACCTGAGTTCAAATCCTCCTTCAAATACCAGCTATGTAACCCTGGACCAGTCATTTAACCTCTGCCTCAATTTGCCCATCTGTAAAATATTTTAAAAATAACAGCACCTACCTCCCAGAATTGTCATAAGGATAAAATGAGTTAATATTTATAAGGTCCTTTACTTAAAATGCTATGTAAGTCCTAGCTGTTACGACTGTGTATATTACAAAGCTGAGTAGGTTAATTTCCCCGAGAGTCACAATTCTCTATGCAAGTGTCCATTGCACAAGTGCTGGACCTGGTGGGGAGAAATGGTGCAGCAGAGCGGATGGTAATCTAGCCCAAATGAATGGTTGAATGGGATATAATTGAGAAATTCCATCTTACTTGTCTTGCATCAACCCCTGATAATGCTAAGCACATAGAATTTGCTTAATAAATATTTATCAGTGCAATTCTTTTTTGTCCATCTTCATTATATCTTCACCTAGTTAAATTTGGCTACTTTCTAAGTGTACATTTTTGAGAAAGAAATCAGAAAGAACTGATTCTTATCAGAAGTAGTATCCTCAACCCTGAAGGAAAATAATCCTGGATCAAGACTAGTTATCTGAGGGGCAGTTAAGTGGCTCAGTGGATAGAGCACCGGCCCTGCAGTCAGGAGGACCTGAGTTCAAATCTGGCCTCAGACATTTACTAGCTGTGTGACCCTGGGCAAGTCACTTAACCGCAATTGCCTTTAAAAAAAAAAAAAAAAAGACCAGTTACCTCAGCAGTGAATACCATCTAGTGTCATAATTCTATTCACTGCCCTAATGTTAAAGTAGTGAATTCATGTTAAGATTCCCCACCCTATGACATTAGCTAAATATAATTCTACTTCTACTTTTTCAAATATGTACCTTGGCTATTATTTTTTTTGGGTTAATGTACTCTTTCCTAGGTACTGCATGTATGTTCTCCATTTTCCCCGCTAAAATAAAAAGCTATAATGGCTGCTTCTAATGACATGTCATGCCTAATATTATTTTTAAATTAAATGAAAGCAAGCATTTATGGAACATATACTGTATGTGTCTATCATTTTTAATGAATTGAGAAATTTAATTAATTGAGACATGTGATGTCTAGAACACACAAGCATAGAAACATTATTACACTTTTGCTTAGAACTTGATTGAAAAGAATTTGAAGTGTCAGTTTATCATTTTAAATTTTGTTACTATCATCTCATGCAAGGCTCAGATTTATTGTTATACTATAAATCTGCCATTTATATAATTCCAGTGATAACTGTCAACTTGATTTATAATTAGCTACAGTGACAAATAGAATAAAACAATTAAGATTATTGATTTCTGTAATTACATTGTCATCCTAATGTGAAAACTTTTTTTATTTGTTGTAAAGTATTGTTTCTATTAAACCTATAATCTATATATTTTGCCCTTCAGGAAAATTATATATTGGCACCTTGGTTTTTTTTTTAACCACTTCTTGATGCAGTTTTATTGTATGGTAGTTGACACCGAAAGTTAAATTATTATTTTTGTTGAAGAACAATTTAAAATGGAAGGACTACTGTCTTGGTTTTTGAGTAATTAGGCATTCTGCCAGTTTGTAAATTTGGTTATGCCATGTAGAAATATTTTCTCTTTTTTCCCTTCTTTAATCAGTGTTTCCATTTCTAGTGTAAGAGTTCAAAGCATTGTAGTACCTACAATCTTAGTATTTGTTTTATACCAAATAATTTAATGTGTTTGCATTTCAAAAAATTCTTTATGTAGAGATTACAAAATCTGAGTGAATGAGTTAATCACATGTAATAATACCTTACCTTTGCTGAAATTTTATCTTTAATATCCCTAAGTTAATTTCCCAGGATGCAATTTTATCTATTCTAATAATTCTCCTGATTTAGTTTGCTTGAGTGTTATAAAACTGTTATCCAATGTATATTATTGTTTTCTATGTAATTATAAGTAATCCAGTTATTACTAGTAATAAGTGGTACAAACTCCTTTATTATGGATAAGAATTTATATAATACATTGCTTATCTTGAAGCATTTAGTTCTAAATGATTCATACAGAATATGATATTGGAAACATTTCACATGGTGATCTGATTGGTGGATAAAGGTAATTTTTGTTAGTATTGCTTAATGAGTTTTAAAATGGAATATATAGTAAAAGCAGGAGGGAGGAAATTAAGAATCATAAATTTTTAAAAATCAGAACAGAGACTAGAAAACCAGAAAAACTATTTTTACTTACATTTTTCTATATCTTTTTCAGTTTCAACAGGCTGGGGAGACATGCCTAATGTTCATTCAAAGGCTGAAGCTTCTTGGGGAGAATCATCATCTCCTGCTGCTACGGTTGATAATGGCACAGCAGCTTGGGGAAAGCCACCCAGCAGTGGTGCAGGATGGGGAGATAATTCTGAGCCATCAGGGACATTTGGAAGAACAAGCGCCCCAGCAACTGCCCCAGCCCTGTGCAAACAAGGTGAGCAAGATCTAATATTTCATTGTCACATTTTAAAAATTGAGGAGATATGTAATGTATAGGAAGCTTAATTATTACCTCATTTTAATTAATGCTTTGTTTTACATATAATTTAGGGAGATTAATTTTGACTGATCTGTTCATACACAGAAAGATCTACAAGTTATTTATGTGTGGGCTTTGCAAGTCTCCTTGGCTCTATTCTGCTATCTTAAACTTTACCTGCTTTACTAATTGGAGTGACAGTCCTGATGGCTTTGAAGTCAAAAGCTCAGGGTCATTTGTACCGCTCCCAAGATTACATTACAGTGAAACTGTGTTTGCTCTATATATTACATATTCATTAAGTAGATATGTCACTTTTTTTCCTTCCAGCTTCAAAATCTATGCAAGAAGGCTGGGGCAGTGGTGGGGATGAAATGAACCTCACTACCAATCAGTGGGAAGATGAAGAAGGAGATATGTGGAATAATGCTGCTTCACAAGAAAGCAACTCCTCCTGCAGTTCCTGGGGGAATGCCCCAAAGAAAGGACTTCAAAAGGTAGAATTTCCTTTTAGAAAAAAGAGAAGAAAAATCAGGGCTAGATACATTAAGTAGTAATAAGCAGTCTTCCCCTTTTGAATTCCATAGTTATTATGGGAAAACTAAAATCAAGCCAGTTTGTTCAGCAGTGTTGGAAGCTATTGTACCCATGTGCAAAATAACTTTTTTTGCACTTAAATTGAGAAGTAGAAATCATTAATATTGATGGGTTCCACACATGTGCCAAATTTTAGTTAAAATAGTGAATTAAAGTTTTTAATCATCAGTCATGACATATACTAACTCTGAAATTCAACTGTTATGAGCCCAGACTTTAAATCATTATTGAAAGACAGCAAAGTAAAGGAGAAACTGTGCTGGATTTGGAGTCAGAAAATACAAGTCACTTAACCCCTCTATGCCTCATTTTCCTCATATGCAAAATTTAAGTCTTGGATAAGATCCATTTAAGGTCGCTTGCAGTTCTAAAGCTACGATCATATGATGTAATAATGATTAAACTGACCAAATTAAGACTATTTGAGAGAATAGTTTAATAATGTCCTCATGCAATTTTATTACATAGTTTTGAAAATGTTCATGAAGAATATTTTTTAGAGTTTGGAGTATTAGAAAGTATTATTAGGGGAGTTTGTATCATTTTAGAATTAAATGAGGAAGTTTCAAAAATTAGGGTTTTTGCAGATCACTTAAGTCTCTTTGGGTCTTTTATCCTCTGCATTTATCCTTTCTGGATTGTCCCTTTTCTGTCTTTCTATAAGTGACCTTTCTTTCCTTTTCTCCATTAGTAAAGGCTTTATAGAAATAGAAAATAAACCTAAATAAAATGAAATTTTTTTTTGTTTCTCACACTCCTTCTTGTTTGAAAGAAGACCTTATTTTGTGTCTGTCTTTATATTTTTAAAGTCCTAAAATTTACTGTGTGATTTTTAGTTAGCCTCCGTTAGTGCTCAGTATAGTTTGAATAAGAGCATTTAATTTTCAAAATGTACATTTATAATTAGCTGCATTAATTCTCTGAGGAAGAAAAAGTAATTGTTTTGCTTTTCTAGTTAATGAATTATTTTTATGCACACATCCCTGCCTATGAATACTGAAACAATCCACAGTATTAGCAGTGAGCACATATTAAATATTTCCCAGAGTATAAAATTATTAAATAGTGATTCAAAGAGATTTTCTAATTCTGAACTGCAATAGATTAAGACCATGCCCTATTTTTTGTAAATACAACAAAGAAATGATTAATAGATTTTTTTTTCCTTTGACCACATTTCATTTGTCTAGGGCATGAAGACATCTAGCAAGCAAGATGAGGCCTGGATCATGAACCGTCTGATTAAACAGCTCACAGACATGGGCTTTCCGGTAATTAGCATTTTATTTTGTTGGTACTGTATCTGCCCACTAATATTTAAGTAACAAATTTTGTTAAATGATTAAATACACATTTTTTCACTTGTGCTTACTGATCAAGAAAGGAATTATTTTAAGGATGATGTTGAAACACTAACTTTGAAATTCATTATATCATAGATTTGATTAGGAAAGTTATAGTATCCTTGTAATCTGTTCTGTGAGGAAAAAACAACTGGAAACAATAGCTAAAAGGATAAGGACTATATGACTTCATTTTCTTTCATATGTTCCATATTGCAAAGATAAAAAAAAAATTTGGTTTGAAGTACAAAAACTATACCACCAATAATCTATTGCTCCCTCTATATAGTGTTTCAAAACCTTTATTCAGATAGCTGTAGGTATATTTATGTAATAAAATGGGTATTCACAAAGTAATGAATGTATCACAAATACTAAAAACATACTCTTTAACTCACCTTTCTCCTCATATATTCTTTTGGCACTTGAAAAGTCAGTTAATTAGTTAATCAATTCATTACTTATAAACTAGAGAATTATATGATAGAATATTTGAAAAATTGAGAAAGCCTATAAAATGCTTCAAATTTCCAGAGTATAATTTTAACATGAAAAGTTCTTCCAAAATATTAAAATGCTCAGAAAGAGAAATTGAAGAAATCATAAATGAAATCTCAAGAAAAAGCCTTAAGACCACAAGTGAATTCTATCAGACATCAAAGAATAACTAATTCCATTAGACTTTATTGATATCTTTTGTTTTTATCTCCTATTTCCGCCTATATGCCTCCTCCTACAAGAGATCTATACCTTACAAGAGAATTTTATAAGAAGAAAAAATATTCAGCAGACCTGGTTAACACGTAGGGAAAATAGGATTTTATATGCAGTATTCCATACCTGTAGACCTCAACCTCTGCAAAGGAGCAGGAGGAGGTATCTTTCTCATATCTCATCTTTGAGCTTGTTTACATTCAGTTTTAATTGTTTTTATGGTGGTTGTACTTTCCACTTAAAATTTCCTGACTTTGCTCACTTCACTTTCAGTCAGTTCATGTAAATGTTTCCATTTGGTTTGCATACCTAAACTAGGAGATAAAAATCAGAAAAAGAAAATTACAGACCAATATCCTTGGTGAGTATTGATACAAGAATTTTAAATAATGTACAATAGTTTATACATCATAACCAGGTTGTATTTATACTAGATATCTAAGGTCAGTTCTGTATTATGCATTCTATAAACATAATAAACAATATTAGTAACAAGAACAATCAAAATCAAATATTATATGCAGAAAAGATTTTTGATAAAATACTCACTTTTCTTGGAAAAAATACTAAGAAGCATCAGAATAAATGGATTTTTTCTTAATGTGGTAAATAACTTTAAAACCGAGCCAGTTATTATATGTAATAGGAATATAGTAGAAGCTTTTTAAATAAAATCAAGGGTAAAGCAAAGATATCCATTGTTACCACTATTATTTAATGTAATACAAAAAGTGTTGGCTATAGCAGTAAGACAGTAAATAATAATTTGAGAGAATAAGCACAGGCAAAGAGCAAAGAAAATTATCACTTTTTTGCAGATGATATGATGGTCTGCTTAGAGAATCTTAGAGAGCCAACTAAAAATTAAAACTAACTTCTGCAAAGTAACATGATATAAAATAAACCCACATAAATCATCAGCCTTTCTGTATATTTCAAGCAAAACCCAGCAGGAAAAGAGAGATTCCATTCAAAATAATTACAGAAAGTGTAAAATATCTGGGAGTCCACCCTACCATGACACACCCAGGAACTATATGAATGAATACAACTTCAAAACACTGCAACTATGGATAGGAAAAGAGATTATGATTAAGAAGAGAGAGAAAGAATCACAGAAGATAAAATGGACAATTTGAACTACATAAAATTTTAAAAGTTTTCACAATGCAATTAAAATTAGAAGAGAAATGGCTAACTGGGAGAAAAGTCTCTGTAGCAAGATATAATAAGAAGGTTCATATATAGAGGAATGAAAGTCGTTCCCCTAGTAGATAGTCAATGGTTATGAAAAGTTAGTTCTCAAAGGAAGAAATACAACCATTAATAACCATGTGAAAAAATGTCCCAATCAATAATAGTAAGAGAAATGCAAATTAAAGCAGTTGTGAGATTCTAATCTACCATCAGTTTTGCAAAAATGGCAGTTTCAAGAGGGGCTGTGGGAAAACAGGCACATTAATACAATATTAGTGAAGATGCAAATTGTCCAGTCATTTTGGAAAGAAATTTGGAACTGTTCTCCCAAAGCCACTAAACTGTGCATATCCTTTGACCTAGCAATAGCACTCATTATACCTATATCCCAAAGAGATCAAAGAAAGAGGGAAAGGACCCATATGAACAAAAATATTTATAGTAGTTCTTTTCATAGTGGAGAAGAACTGGAAACTGTGAGTACCCAGCAAGTGGGAAATGACTGAACAAATTATGGGATATGAATGTGACGGTATATTGTTAGGCTGTGAGTGACAAAATAGAAGATTTCTGAGAAACATGGAAAAACTTAAATGAATAGCTGCTGAGTAAAGTGAGCAGAACCCGGAGAATGATTTAAGTGATAACGTTTTAAAGATAAACAACTAAAATTTTTTTGATTTTTTAAAAAACAACTTTGAATGACTCAAGCGCTCTGAGCAGTGCTATGTTCAACCACAGTTACAAAGCGCTGGTAATGAAAAATGCTACCTTACCTCTTGACAGAAAGGTGAGGGGTCCAGAACAACATATACATTTTCAAACATGGCCATTTGAGGACTTGACTATGTGTAACTAATGCAAGGGTTTTATTTTTCTTTCAAAATATTTTATGAAGAGGAGTTGGGAAGTAGATTAGAAATGGGGTCACCAGAATGAAAATAAGGTCAAGAAAAGAGGGTCATCTTTTAAAATAAATAGAAGAAAACAGAACAGAGTTCAGCAGGAAACACAAGCAGGATGGCTTTGAAAATAACCCTTGAATTTTAATTATATATTTAAAAAGAAAAGCAACCTGTACACAATACATATTCATACCTTCATGTACAATCATCTTTTCTGTTCTGCTTTGTCTGTGGAAATGCTTGTCTTATTTGTTGTTGGTTAAGTTCAGAATTTTTTTTAAAAAATCATACAGACGTAAATTATTTTCTCTAAAACATCTTTTTTTTTTTACCTTATCATTCTCCTGCTTTAAAAAAAAATCAAAAAACTTTCAACCATCACTTGCCTTTTCTGTCCACCTATACTTAATTTCTCTTTCTCTTTCCATAGGAAGTAATCTTAACTATAGAGGCATAGCTTTTTTTAATTATTATGATAATAAAAGAGCACATACTTTTAACTTCAATCTTAACTGACAAGTAATAGGGATGGTAAGATGTGGGAAGTGAAAAGGCTGTTTAGTCTAATTCTTTTGCCATTACTTGAAAAAAATCCATCTAAACCTGGGAAAAGAAAAAGAAGTTATTGGGTACCATACATTGAACATCTGAGTAATCTGTACATCTACCTTACTAATTTAATTTTTAAAAGTTTTATCTTTGGTGAACTGCTGTAACCCATTTTTCCTTGTATTGTGCTTATAAAGTTTTCCATAGACTACTAAATGTAATTATATTAAGGCTATATTGGCTGTAGTCAAAATCTATAGAAAACATGAGTGTTAAATTGAATAAATCAAATAAAAGTATTCAATTAATTTTATTATTGCAAGTAATTTAGTTTAAAAATAATTTCTTTGATGTATGTTCAAGTCCCCAAGTTCTTTAACTTTTTAAATAGACACATTATGAAAATACAGGTTTTTTTTGTTTTCCCACAGAGAGAGCCAGCTGAAGAAGCTTTGAAGAGTAACAATATGAATCTTGATCAGGCCATGAGTAAGTAATAAAATACTATTCCCAAACAAAAGCTTTAAAAAGTTTCAATTTTCAAAGTTTTTTTTCTCAATATCATCAAGTAATATTTGAGTATTTGTTGAGTAGAAGAGAGAATCTTAGATATTTCAAAAGGGACACAAAGTATGATGTTCATTTACTAAGAAATGAGCTGCTTAGATCCCAAGAAGTATACCATTGAAGATACAAATTATAGTACACATTTAAAAGATTAAGAATTTGTCTATCCCCACTCCCAGAATGCACTGATTTTTTAAAATTTTTATGTGTAGACATAACAGTGAAATTCTTAACTTTATTTGTATCACTGGACCTATTTAGCAATCTAATAAAGCCTATGGATCCCCTCTCAGAATACTGTTTTCTTGCCCACATTCATAATTCAATGAAATGTTATCCTTTGTCCATTTATCAGTTGAGGAATGGCTCTTATTTTTATAAGTTTGACTCAATTCCCTATATATTTAAGAAGTGAGGCCATTATTAGAGAAAGGTGCTGTAAAAATTTTTGAAATTAGTTCATTACCTCTGGTACCTTTTAGCAAAATGTGGTTTCCATGGTTATCTCTTTTCATTAAGTCTATCATGATTGCTACCCTGGGCTTTTTTCTTCAGCTGAAGCATAATCGATTCTGCACTAGCACTTTCCTTTAATTCTTTGTATCATTTTCTGTTTCAAGTGTGTCTCTTATAAACAACATGTTGTTGGATTCTGCTTTCTAATCCATTCTACTATCTGCTTCTGTTTTACAGGTGAACTCATCCTATTCACATTCACAGTTATTATTACTAACTGTGTATTTACCACCATCCAATTTCCTTCTGTTTATCCTTCTGTCTTTTTATCCTGTCCCTCCTCAAAAGTCTGTTTTGCTTCTGACCACTGCCTCTTAATCTGCCTTCCTTTGTATCACTTTTCCCTCCCCCATCCCCCCCATATCTCTTATCCTCTTCCCCTCCAATTTCCCTGTTGGGTAAAGTAGATTTCTCTACTCAACTGAGTGTGTATATATGTTCTTCCCTCTTTGAACCAGTTCTAAGGAGAGTGAGACACAAGCATTGCCCACCACCATCACCACCTCCACCACCCAGATTCCCCTCCACTATAAAAGCTTTTCCTTCCACATCTCTTTTATATGAAAAAATTTTCCCTATTCTTCCTCTCCCATTCCCCTTCTCCCAGTGCATCTCTCTTTCTTACTCCATTTTTTTTTTTTTTTTTTTTTGGAGATCATTCCAACATAATTGACTTACACCCATGCCCTCTGTCTGTGAAGACTCCAACTGCCCTAAGAATAATAAAGTTCTTAAGGAGTTACATATATCATCTTCCTATATAGAAATGTAAACAGTTTAACTTTATTGAATTTCTTAGGATTACTCTTTCATGTTTACCTTTTTATGCTTCTCTTGAGTCTTAGTGTTTGAATGTCAGATTTTCTATTCAGCTCTAGTCTTTTCATCAAGAATGGGAGGAAGTCTTTTATTTCATTAAATTTCCATTTTTCCCCTAAAAGATTACACTCAGTTTTGCTGGATAGTTTTATTCTTGACTGTAATCTTTGATCCTTTGCCTTCCTGAATATCATATTCTAAGGCCTCCAGTTTTTTTAATGTATAAGCTGCTAAATCTTGTGTGATCCTGACTGTGGCTTCACAGTATTTGAATGATTTCTTTCTGACTGCTTGCAATATTTTCTCCTTGATCTGAGAACTCTGGGATCTGGCTATGATATTCCTGGGAGTTTTCGTTTTGGGATCTCTTTCAGGAAGTGATCAGCAGATTCTTTCAATTTTGATTTTACCCTCAGAATATAAGATATCAAGGCAGTCTTCCTTGATAATTTCTTGAAATATGATATCTAGGATTTTCTTTTAATCATGGCTTTCAGACAATCCAATAATTCTTAAATTATTACTCTTCAGTCTGTTTTCCAGATCACTTGTTTTTCCAATGATATATTTCACATTTTCTTCTTTTTTTTCATTCTTTTAACCTTGTTTTATTGTTTCTTGATGTCTAATAGAATCATTAACTTTATTTGCCCAATTTTAATTTTTAAGGAATTATTTTCTTCTGTGAGCTTTTGTACCTCCTTTTCCATTTGACCCATTCTGTTTTTTAAGGAGTTCTTTTCTTCAGTGAATTTTTGTGTTTCTTTTACCATTAGACCAATTATGTTTTTTAAGATGTTATTTTCTTCAATATTTTTTGTGCCTCTTTGGCCAAGCTGTCGATTCTCTTTTAATAATTTTCTTGCATCACTCTAATTCTTTTCCCAATTTTTCCTCTACCACTTTTATCTATTTCTTTAACTCTTCCAAGAATTCTTGTTGGGTGTGAGTCCAATTAGCATTTTTTGAGGCCTTTCTTGTAACTATTTTTATGTTGTTGTCTTCTTATCAGGTTAGGTCTTGGTCTACCCTACCATCATAGTAGCTTTTTATGGTCAAGGTTTTTTTTGTTGCTGTTGGCTAATTTTCAAAGCTTATTTCTTGCCTTTGAACTGTATGTTAAAGCTAGACTCTGCTTACCCAGGGATGGAGATGCAGTGTCTCAAACTTCAGGCTTTTTCCTGCTGCTGTTTTCAGACCTAGTTCTGGGGGGCTGCAAGTTTTCAATGCTTCCAAGGTGGTATAATCCTGGGAGAGATGTGGTCGTTGTCTGTGCTCTGCTCTTTACCCAGGAAGGGCCCCTGCTCCCCTACAGCCATAAGTGCTAGCACTCCTCTTGGCCCTGGAACTGTGACTAGGTCCCCTGCTTTCCTACAGCCACATGCACTAGAGCTCTTCTCTGCTTTGGAACTGTGACCAGGGTCCACTCTACCTTGTGACTGACCACAAATACTCCTCTGCTTTCCATCTTAGAACCGTGATTCAGAACTGCATGTTGACAAGAGAGTAGCCAGTCAGTGGCAGCTGCACCCAGTACCAGCAAAGAGTGCCCTATAATCTCTTTCTCAACAGTTGTATGACCCTCTTACCACCTCTGGGATGAGAGCTCCCAAAGCTGGTAGCTGCCTCCAAGGCCCACCACTGGTACTGTTGCATGCACTCTGGGCAGGCACCAACCTCTACCTCCCACCCTCACACATATTACAAACCTCTTCTGCTGACCTCCTGAGTTATCTTATGCTGGAAAAATGTTTCACTCTGACCATTTGTTGTCTAAGCCACTCCATAATTTGACTTGAGGTGTTTTCTGCTCCTCTGCAATGATGTTTCAGTTGCTAAATCCAGTGCTCATTTCTCTGTCTTTGTCCTTCTTGACCTCTCTGCAGACTTTGACACTGTCAGTCACCTTCTTCTCTTTAATATTCATTTCTCTTTAGGTTTCCATGACACTGCTTTCTCCTGGTTGTCCCACCTACCTACCTGTTCCTTCTCAGTCTTCTGTGCTGGATCATGCCTGCTAACTGTGGAGGTTCTGTCCTGGGGCCTTCTCTCCCTCCATACTATTTCACTTGGTGATGTCGTTCTCTTCCGTGGGTTCGATTATGACCTCTGTGTGGATGATTCTCAGATCTACTTATCCACCCCAACCTCTCTGCTGACCTTTAGTCTCTCATCCAAACTGCCTCTTGCACATCTCAAACTAGATATCCCATTGATGATAATGGTAGTGGTAGTGGTGGTGGTGGTGATAACTAGCATTTATACAGCACTTTAAGGTTTACAAAGTGCTTTACATATATTACTTCATTCTGTCCTTACTACAACCCTAGGAAGTAGATGCTCTAAGTATTCCCATTTATAAATGAGGAAATTGAGGAAGTAAGAGGTTTATTGACTTTCCCTGGGTTACACAGCTATTAAGTGTCTGAGGTAATATTTGAATTCAGGGCTTCCTGTCTCCAGTTCCATCACTTTATCCACTGTGCCACCAATTATCATAAAGATCTTAAACTCATGTTAGGCTCAATATGTCTAAAATTGAACTTATTATCTTTTCTCCCAAACTCTCCCCTCTTCCAAAATTCTCTAGTACTCTCAAGGGCACCACCATCCTCTCAGTCACCCAGACACAAAACCTAGGTGTCATCCTTAACTCTGTCAAGTCTTGGCAATTCTATGTTTATAGCATCTCTTATATCTGCCCACTTTCCTCTCTGACACTGCCACCACCTCTATACAGATTCTCATTACTCTCCTTCTCCTCCTACGTTCTCCTTCCCCACTTCCCCACTATTCTAATCTTCTTACACCATACTCCTCTAGACATATTCTGTAACCCACTTTCACTGGTCTACTTGCTGTTCTTTGCATATGACACTCCATCTTCCAACTCTGTGCATTTTCACTGGGTGTCGTCCCCCCATACCCAGAGTTCTCTCCTTTCTTGTCTTTTCTTCTGGCTGCCCTCAAGTCTCAGCTAAAATCCCATCTTATTTAAGAAGACTCTCTGAGTCCCCATTAATATTAGTGCCCTCCCTCTGAAATAATCACTAATTTATCATGTGAAAAAACTCCTAGGGTACTTCACTAGAGATCTCCTGCCACTCTGCTATTGACTCATTAATGATTACTCTGAGTCCAATCGTTCAAACGGTTCTGAGTCCATCTAATTGTATTGTTTTGTCCACAGCTCTCCATCTTCTTCACATGAATAATATGAAACACTTTATAGAATGCTTTGTTAAAATCTAGACAAACTTCTGTATATCAACAGAATTTCTCTCATCAACCATTTCAATAATGTAAAAAACGAGATAAGATTAGTCTTACGTGACCTTTTCTTGAGAAAGCCATGCCATCTCTTTATAATCACAGCTTCTCATTTTAGATATTCATTAATTAGCTCTTTAATGATCTGCTCTAAAATTTCTCCAAGAATCAACAGTTAGTGGCTAATAATCTGCTAATTTCATTTTTTTTCTTTTGGAAAATCAGGGCATTTGCCCTTCTCCAAGTGGTACCATTCCTATTTTCTATCCATAATCCTGAAAATATTATTGACAGTGGCTTAGCAATCACATATGTCAGTTTGGTTGTGGGGTTGTTTTTATTTGTTTGTTTGTTTGTTTTAGTTCCTGAGGATATAGCTTATTTGGGCCCATTTACTTGAATTCATCTGAGGTGATCTCTTACTATGATATATAGACATGGGGCTTCTGTGTAGTCTGTAAGCCTTTAGCTTCTTTTGTTTTTACTCCTGAGCCATGTTTTCCAAAGTTTTTCATCCTCCTCCTCTATATCTTTGCATTGAAGTTGCTGAATATTAAAATATGTTTATTTAATTTGGAGGATCTTACTGAGTTCTTGTAGAATCTCTTTGCATAAACACAAAGAGCAAATAAAAATCTCATTTGATTAATCAAATTCAAACCATTTTAGCAATGTGAGAATGTAATCCCTTTGATTTCTTGTTCTTGATCCTGGTTTTTCAGTCAGTGAGTGAATGAAAAACATTAAGTGCTTAATATTTGGCAAGTATGATGCTAAGCACTGGAAATGTAAATAGAAAAGATAAGCTAGTCCCTGCTCTCAAGGAGTTCACATTCTAACTGGAGATGACCACAACCAGAAGAGAGTTCAGCTGTAAGATAGCCTTGAAGTCCTAAGGGCGCATTTAATGCAAAGTCTGATTTAGTGCAAATTATAAAATAATACTAGGTCACATTTAATGCAAGCCAAAATTCAATTAATGTGATTCATGGAGCTTGATAAGGATTTTAAAACATTATATGTTGTCATCTCCTATGGATATGATGTGCTGCATACCATATTACCAATAGTGTGTTAATTTTTTTTTAAAGATTCCTTAACAAAATGGACAGAAGGAATATTTCAGATTGAAATACTGCTGACAGAAAAAAAGAGACTTGTTAGTACATTTGAACAAAAATTTTATGTAATTGAATGGCATGAATGTGGTCTTAGTAACTCTAAAACTAGATGTTATATCAGATACCTGGATGTACTTTGGATATTATAAAACATGCAGACAAAATAAAACAAAGAGGCAAAGTTACATCATCTTTTTGTAGTTTACAAGCAATCACAGGGAAGAGAAGTGTTAAAGTGATAGAAATGGAGCGTCTTATAGATAGAAGATGGTAATCAATAAACTCGTTCTTCATAGAACAGCAGCCATTTAGACAAAAGCGTCAAGTTTATTTAAGGCAGTGAAAGAAAATGGAAATGAAGTGACTAGTGAAGAAAGTTACTGCAAGCATTAAATGGTTCAATAACTTTAAAAATCTAATTCAGTTGCATAGTGTTGAAATTACCAGAGAAGCCTTGGCAGCTTAATATAGTGGTGTTTTGAAGAAGACAGTCAAATGAGGTGGATATTCGGGTTGATAAATTTTTAATGTGGATGAAAAGGTTGCCTTCCAGAAATTAAATTTCCAAGAATGAATAAACTCAACCTGGATTAAAAGCGTCTAAGGGTCACCTACCACTAATTGGGAGGCAATACATAAGGGGCAGCTAGGTAGAATGGAGGATAGAATACCAGGCCTAGAGTCAGGAAGACTGATCTTCCTGAGTTCAAATCTGGCCTCAGACGCTTACTAGCTGTGTGATCCTGGGCAAGTCACTTAAAGTTGTATGCCTCAGTTTCCTCATCTGTAAAAATGAAATGGAGAAGGAAATGGCAAAGCACTCTACTATCTCTGCCAAGAAAACAATGGAGTCGTAAAGAGTCAGACATGACTGAAATAACTGAACAATAACAACAAATGCATAAGGGGATTTTAAAATTAAAGCCAGTGCTTGTTTATCAGACTTAGTTCTTGTGCTCTGAAAGGCTATCACTTCCATTTCTTTGATGGTCACATAAGAAAGCATGGGTTTTCAAGTTATTTTAGCCCAGCTATTGAAAAAGATTGCAAGGACAACAATATCCTTTTTAAAGTATTACAGATTTTATATAATACCTCAGGTCATCCAACTGTACTTGTTTCATTGTGTTCGTTCATATGAGCATGCAAATTAGCTGAGATGTGTATAAAGCTCTCTGCACCTACCAGTATATAAAGATTTAAAGAAAAGGAAGATAGTTCAATATAAACTGCTGAAATATTTTAAGTGATATAATAATGACATTTTCATCATATTGGCAGTGAAGGTCTATCTTTAGGTACTAGATCCAGTCATTTTTTTTTTTTATATTTTGCTTTCTATATAGCTGTTCTATTACTTTGTAATAAACTTGAATAAGAAATACATCTTATTCTTTGCTTTATTTTACATTAATTAAGAGATAAAAAATTATGTTAAAACATTTTCATTGCATATTTCTGTTGGTCTGGAATCATAATTTATATATTTAAAATTTCAATTTATATTTGTAATTATATATTTCAAATTATTATAATTTCAAATATTGCAGTTTTGAATGCTGCTACCATTTCTTGGGATCAGAACGAAGCTGTATTTATAAGATGGATGGCAAAGGCCACAGATCCTGGAGCTGCATCAACAAATGAATTAACAGTGTCCAGGAATCTGGAGGGTATAGAATAAATGGTCAAGTCTGGTAGGCCTCTCTGTAGTTGTCAGAAGGAATATGTGAGGCAACAGAGTAGGGTTTTATTAGAAGTCCTTACGCTTACCCAGCAGCCAAAATAGAGCCTCCAAAAGTTGCAGTCTTCTTCAGAGAGGTACACACAGTCCACACAAGGGAGGAGAAACTCATCATGGTGGAGGAAAGCTAAGAATTGAGGTTATTTCAAATGTAGGCATGTGTTGTCTTCATACCACCAAAAGGTATTAGAGGAAGATTTTCATAGTAGGTTCTTGAAAACAAGTCAACAAGTCAGTAATCATTTATTGAGAGTTTGTTGTGTACCAGACACTGTATTAGGTGCTAGGAATAGAAATAAAAGCAAGATGGTCCCTGCCTTCAAGGAGATTACATTAGAACAGGGGAAAACAACACATAAAAGGAAAGCTGAAAGGGAGTAGAAAGGATGAAGGTGGGGAAGGGAAAGGTAGGCACCTTAGAGAAAATCTGAGGGGAGGGGGCAGCTAAGTGGGACAGTGGTTACAGCTCCAGCCTCGGAGTCAGGAGGACCTGAGTTCAAATCCAACCTCAGACACTTGACACTTACTAGCTATATGACCTTGGGCAAGTAACTTAACCCCGATTGCCTCACCAAAAAGCAACAAAAGAAAAAGAAAGAAAATCTGAGGGGAGAGTCAAGAGTGTGTCTGAAAAGGAATGAAGACATGAGTGGCTTGAGCATGTTTCTTAAAACGGAGACTCTGGGAAAAACCAGTCAGTCAGCAAGTGACCACAGGGATGGAGGGTAATTTTTTTTTTATTTTCAGTTCCAAATTATCTCCCTTCCTCCACCTATCTCCCACACACTGAGAAGACAAGAATTATGAGAGACATTATATATACAAAGTCATGGGAAACATTTCCACATTATCCATGTTGACCCCCCCCCCCCCCAAAAAAAAGGCATGAAATATAAAGAAAGTGGGGGGGGGTGGGAATATGCTTCAGCCTGCACCCAGAGTTCATCATTTCTCTCCCTGGAGGTGGATAGCATTTTTAAAAATTAGTCCTTTGGAATTGTCATGCATTATTATATTAATCAAGAGTAGCTAAGTCTTTCACAGTTGAGTATAATTATAATACTGCTATTACTATATACAACATTCTAATAGTCCTGCTCAATTTATTTTTCATACATTCATATCAGTCTTCAGAGGGTACTTTCAATGCGTGGAATCCGGGGCTGGAGTGAGGTTCTAGGACACTGTAGGGAAAATCTGGGAGGAGAGTCAGGAGTGTGGCCTAGAGAGGAACAAAGACATGGGTGGCCTGAGTGGCCTCCTTAAAACAACTTAATCCTTTAAAGAAAACTCAATTATTCTTCTTCCAATTTATCTTTGACAAGTTATTTTTTAAGCAGAGAACCTTCCTCTTGCTTATGGCTCACCTTTAGTTTAGGACAGAACTGTTTCTGTCCCTTTCCTGATATAACATTATGCATCTAAGCAAATACCACACCCCTGTACCATAAACTTTCAACTCATCCAGGAACCTTGGGCTTCAAAAGTTTTCAAACCTTTGGATCTTTTTTTCTGAGATTGGTAGCCACAAGTCTTATACCTGATGGTAATGGCTGAAGTTAAGCACGTTTTAAGCTGAGTATTTTTCTTTTTGTTCTCTCCAGGTGCTCTGCTGGAAAAGAAGGTGGAGATGGACAAGCGTGGGATGGGAGTGACTGACTATAACGGAATGGTCACCAAACCCCTTGGCTGCCGCCCACCGATCTCCAAAGAGTCTTCCATGGACCGCCCCACCTTTCTTGACAAGGTGAGCTAACATTTTGTTTAGGTGAGCGTTCTGGTGTCTGCTTCATTTGGATGAACTTTGACAAGTCACTTGCACATATTTCTCTATCAACATAACTACTCAATAGCCTTACTATAGTATGGATTTCACATTTGGATATTCTGATTTTGTAACAGATCTGATCTGTGTGTTTAATCTGCCAGCTGAGATCTATGAGCAGTGATGATTTTAGTACCAAGTCTTGATTAATGCTTCTATAAACATTGAGGTATTTAGGGGACAGTGGACCTTGTAGCTTATGATGAAAAAGCTTCCTAAAGTTGCCTTGAATATTTAGCATACTAGGTTAACTACTAGGTCCATATAAGATTTTGACATTATTAATTTCAAATATAATGATCAAATGAGATATTTGTAAAGCTCTTAGCACAGTCCCTGGAACATAGTAGGAGCTACATAAATTCTTCTTCCTTTCCCTTCCTTTAATGCCAAAGCAAAAGAATTGAAACTCAAAAATAGAAGCTAGGTGGTGCAGTGGATAGAGCACCAGCCCTGGATTCAGGAGGACCTGAGTTTAAGTCTGGCCTCAGACACATAACACTTACTAGCTGTGTGACCCTAGGCAAGTCACTTAACCCCATTGCCTGGCACAAAAAAACAACAGCAGCAAAGTGATTTGGGGCAGCTAGGTGTCAGAGTAGATAGAGCTCTGGCCTTGGAGTCAGGAGGACCTGAGTTCAAATCTGGCCTCACCCCTTATTTTTATGTTTTGTTTACAAAAAGGATCTAGGTAGTTAATCGGTTGTCCATTCTATGCTGGGCCAAACTTCGTAACTACACAAAGGAAATCTGCTTATTTGAAGATAATCAGAGTCTTATTAGGACCCTTGGTGTAGTTTTCAAGTCTTTGACCTTTCTCCTTTCCCTTAGCAGTTTGTAGGATTAGTGAAAGTATTTAAGGTAGTATACATGAGGGGTGGGAGAGTAGGGAAGCTTCTATATATGTGCGTTTATAAAATACAAAAAAAAATGGAAGGAAAACTATCTTAATACTCTTTCTCTTTCTCTCCCCCCGCTTTCCCTTTACCCATATTCTTCATTCCCTTATTATTCATGCTTTTTTGATATTTTAATCCTTTATTCATCCATATCCTTTATATTTCCTTGGGAAATTGTTTTGTGCTTTGTCTGCTGTTGGACATTGCACACAGCTCACCCTTTCTTTCTCCAATCAGGATGGCGGCCTAGTGGAAGAGCCCACTACTTCACCATTTTTGCCTTCACCAAGCCTGAAGCTCCCCCTTTCAAACAGTGCACTCCCTAATCAGACCCTGGGTGGGATTGCCTCAGGGCTGGGCATGCAAAACTTGAATTCTTCTAGACAGGTAAGGCTGCTTGGACAAATCAAATTGTGATTTTTTTTCAAGTCCCTAGAAGTTATGTTTTGAAGGAATCTTTTATCATCTTTGCTTAATATTAACATTTCAGACTGTAATAAAATCAAGATGATAATTTAAAACTGCAAATGCTGTATTTTAAGATTTACTGTGAACCCTCATGATATACTGCCAACTATGATTAAACATAAGAAGATGCAGAAATTAAAGGAAAATTAATTTATTTTGGGCTCATCACAATTCTTAGAATTTAGCTTTGAGTTTTAGGGAATTTCTAAAAAAAAAAAAAAGGTATCTTTTAAGTAGCACTAATTTGTTGAAGTGGAAATATCCGTCAAATCACCATTAATTTGCTAGATATATTCAGTGACACTAGAATCTAGGATGAACCTTTACTAAAGTTCATATTAGTGTTTAGAGATCCATGCTGGCATTGTTTCTCCTACCTTCATACTTTCAGAAAAATTGAAAATTATCTCTCCAAGGAAGTCTCTAATGTGAAGACCTAGGTTTTTTTTTTTTAATGTAATATGCTAGAAGCGTGTTTTCTTATATAGAAATTCTCTAATCTAAAACACGGTATACATAGTAAATAAAGTTTTCTTATATTTCTGAGTTTTACAGGAATTCTCTTACTGGATTCCACTTTTGAGTAAGTTTCCAAATTTTGAGAGAACATTTCTGCATATATGGAATTTTCTCTTTAGCATATATTCTATAATGTTTCAGTACAACATCACTATTGGTGTTCCATTGTAACATTGTATTGTTTTGCTGAAGTTATAACAACTTCGGTTAAGAGAAACGATTAGCACATATAACTGTTTCAAATTTCAATGAGTTTGCTCGTCACGCATCTATTTTATGAAAAATTTTGCATGATCTACTCACAGGAATAATTTTTAATGCCTTCGAGCCCATCTCGGAGAAAAAGGGATATAATATTATAAACATATTGATTAAGCATGTTTAGGCAAAAATATGAAAATTGTTAGTAGAATCTTTGTTAGAGTTAGAGTAGCAATTTAGCACTGGTGCTATAATCTCGTTTCCTTCCCTTCAAAGTCTTGACTATATGTTTGAATGTTCAGCTATTAACTATTCAGAAATTTTAAGGTTCTTTAAAGCAACAATTAAATTTCCCAACTGAAAATAATTATTTTGTTTCTGGCTATGTTCTCCTGTTAAGATAAATCCTTGCCCAAATATACATATTAATAACTCTCTAGTTGTCATTCCTTTAAGTTGTCTAAATAGTATGCACATTGGTGTCATTCTTTGAAATATTTCTTGTATGGCTAAATGATGTTTCTTCTCCTTTTCCTTTTTTTGATAGTCTTATCTACTATCTTAAAAGTTTTATCCCCTGTAATATAGCTTCTGTGAACTTAATAACTTCAGTAATATTTATGCTCATTTCAAACCATTATAAGATGCTTAACATCTTTAGTTAATTTTTTTTATTACAGATGTAGACTGGTGAAAAAGTACTCTTTTTAGAAAATGAATAAAAATAAACATTATTTTTTCTGTCTTCCTCCAGATACCGAGTGGCAATCTGGGTATGTTTGGCAATAGCGGAGCAGCACAAGCCAGGACCATGCAACAGCCGCAGCAACCGCCAGTACAACCTCTTAACTCATCCCAGCCTAGTCTTCGTGCTCAAGTGCCTCAGTTTCTATCCCCTCAGGTCAGATTAATATCCAACAGTTTTTAAAGCTAAAGAATGCTATGTACATAGTTTAGCTAAATTTCATCAAAATATTTGAGAAAGTCTCTCATACTATCCTTATAAACACGACTAGACTAGGTAATACAGTCTAGTAGATTCAGAAGTGTTTGAATAATCAGACCCAGAGAATAATTGTTGCCCCAGTGTCCATTTGAAGGGAATGCTCTCTCTAGTGAAATGCCCCAATGATTTGTCATTGACGAAGTGTTGGTCAACATTTTAATCAATAACTTAGATAAAGGCAAAAATAAGTTATTTATCAAATCTATAAGTAACACAGAGCTAGCAAGGTAAAGCTAATACCTTAGATGACATTAGATGATAAAAGCCAAAAAAGGCAATATTAGGGTGAAAAGGCACCTCGTTAAGATGATATTTTGGGGCAGCTAGGTGGCACAGTGGATAGAGCTCCAGCCTTGGAGTCAGAAGGACCTGAGTTCAAATCCGGCCCCAAACACTTGACACTTACTAGCTGTGTGACCCTGAGCAAGTCACTTAACCGCAATTGCCTCACCAAAAAAAAAAAAAAAAAGATAATATTTAATATGGATTAGGTAGGTGGCGCAGTGGATAGAGCTCCAGCCTTGGAGTCAGGAGGACCTGAGTTCAAATGTGACCTCAGGCATTTTGATGCTTACCAGCTGTGTGACCCTGGGCAAATCACTTAACCCTGATTGCCTCACCCCCTCCAAAAAAAAAGATGATATTTAATAGGCTTATAGGTTTAGGCCTGAAAAGGACCTTTAGAGGATTCTAGATGAAGAAACTGAGGTCCAGGGAGGTTAACTGATTTGCCCAAGGTTGCCTAAGTACTGTGTAGTAAGTGACAGAGGTAGGATTTGAACACAAGTCCTCTGAAAAATAATAGAGACAAATATAAAACACGTACTTAGGTTCAAAAAATCAAGGCAAGACAGGCATTTATTAAGTTCGTGCTATGTGCCAGGCACTATGCTAAATGCTAGGGATACAAATATAAGGAAGCTACCATCAAGGAACTTATACTCTGATGAGGGAAGATAGCAAATAAAAGGGAGCTAAAAGGGAGGGGGACAGGGAGGAAGGTAACCAAGCTGGTGTCAAAGTCCAGAAAGTCAGAAGCACAGCCAAAGGGGAAATGGCCAGCCTGGACCCCTCCTCAAAATGGAGACTCCCAAAGGAACTCACCAGTGGAAGAAAGGAGTAGCAGAGTAGAGAGATAACCCAGGGTGATAAATGTTTCAAGATGAGGAGAACCTAGTCACTGAGGCAGCTGAGACAAAGTGGCAAAGTCTAAAAAGTCAGAAGCAGCTTTACAAATTGGATGAGGTAACTGGGGGCAGTAGTGAAAAGACCATTGAATTTGGTGTTAAGGGCCTGGGTTTGACTCCCAGCACTGCTACTTACTGTATGACCCTGGGCAAGTCACCAAACTTCTCTAAGCCACATCTAGTCCAGTTCCCTTCAGAGGAATTAGACTACGCATCTAGTCCAATTCCCTTCAGAGGAATTGTACTAGATGACTTATAAGGTACCTTTAAGCTTCAAATCTATGATCCTTTAAGCAGCGGTTTATGTGAAAAAGATCTAGAGGTTATAGTGGTCTGCAACTCAATATGAATCATCAACATTACCTGGCAACCAAAAATGCTCGTGTTATTTCAGACTATATTGAGAGAGATATGTATAGCGTCTAGAACACTGGAAGTAATGGTCCTGCTCTATTCCGCCCTAGTCAGGTTACATCTGGAGTCCAGAGTTCAACTGGAAATCCTATTTTCAGAAGGATGCTTTTTATATTGTGTCTAGAGGAAGAGAAGCAAACATAGTGAAGAGCTTCAAGTTTGCTATCCAGTGTTCATGTGAAGGAACTTGGGTGCTTTGGGAGTAGGGGAAATGACAGAATTGTTTTCACGTTTCTGAAGGGCTGTCATATGAAGAGGGAATAGCCTTGCTCTGTGTGGACCAGGAAGGCAGAATGGGGAGCAATGGGTAGAAATTGAAGATGGGCAGATGTAGGTTCAATGTAAGGACATCCTTCCTAACAGAACTAACCAAAAGTACAAAGACCTCCAAAAATGGTAGGTTTCCAAGTCTAAACTTGTTGGGGATTTTGTTGAATGGATTCCTGGTTAGGTACAGAATGGAGTAGATGCCCTCTGAGCTCCTCTGAGGTTAAGTGAAATGTGAATTTTGGAGCTTTGCACATTGAGATAGAAATAATTATTTTAATGTGACAATATGGTTCAACTTTGAAAATTAACCCCAGGCAATTTAACTTCAGTGTAAGAGTAGAAATTTATTTTTGAGTTTAGCAACTTTAAAATGTCTCCTTTTGAACAATTAGCTAAAAATGTGTTGAGAACTGTTGCTGAGACTAACAAACCATCAATGAAAGCAATAGATCCCTTTTTCAGCACATTTAAGTGAATGCTATGTGGCTTACCTGGAGTTACCCAAGGGAACACATACAGACAGAGATGTAAACAATAAGGAAAGGGTGCTAGGTCAGCCCATTGACCCCCAGCCCCATCCTTGATGTCCAAATAAGGAGATGCCAACCAACTAAGAAACTGAAAGTTGTTAACCTGGAATATAGGATTCCAAATATGGAGGGAAGGGACCAGGGTTCCAAAAAAGGTAGGTACCAGGAGAAAGGGTATATGACGAGGGCATAGTTTATTGGACTGAGGAAGAAAAACAATGGGTTTTTCTAGTGGTCTGGAGATCCTTAAGACCGTTTCAGGAGGTTCAAACTTTGCATTTTATTTTCTAATATGCTAAATATCAACAGATATAACCCACATAAACAAAAGCTCTTTCAGTTCCTCAATAATTTTTGAAGAGTGTAAAGGGAGCCTAAAACCAAAAAGTTTAAGAACTACTGTTAAAAACTAAAACAGTGTAAATCACTCTCCACCCCCTTTGCTTAAAAAGTAAGTTTTAGGAATTTTTTTTCCTAAGTGCCTTTCAGTAATTGGAATAGGAGGAGAAAAATGAGTCAGAACCTTGAGATTATTTAGAACAGCTAAGGGGAAGAAGGGGAATGTGTGAAAAAGATTCAGAATGTATCTGTCAGGGACCACACTTTATCTTGGTCCTTCATGAAAAAAAAATTCTGTTATGTGACCATTAGAATATACCTTAATCACATCTTTGAGGATGAAGAGTTGTGGTAAAATGACCAAATGAAGAATTGCTCAGGCTACAGAAGTGAAGATACAGGAATTAGAGAAGGATGGGAAATTCCCAGTCACTCTCCCTATCTATTCTGATAAATCACAAGGAGGACCAAGTCACATATAAGTTAAGTGATTTGCCCGGGATCATTAGAGCTAAGAGGTGTCAGAAAAATAATTGTGAGCCCTCCTTCCAAGAGCACCTTTCTGACCCTGAGCCCAGATGCCCTTCTATATACCATCTTCATTCAATATCTGTAAAAGTAAGAGTATAGAATAGCCCTGGGTAAAATAAAAAGATTTATGATCAAAGGTAGTCCATAGATCTTCATGCTGTGATAGATTTATCAATTTGTGTAAAAGTTGTCTATTTCAGCCAGTCTATCCTAGTTCTGTCATTGCTGCTCAGGTGATCCATGGGCAAGTTACATAACTTCTTTGGGCCTCATCTGTAACAGGATGGGGAAGGACTAGGTGACCCCTGAGTTCCTTCTTATCCAACTCCATGATTCTAGAAGAGGTTATTAGCACCACATCCCTTGGTTCCTTTAGGATTTAGTGGTCAGAATAAGTTCTGGTAGTTTGAAGTTGTAGCTTTGTATGATCTTTTGTAATAATAGGTTACATATTATGGTGCTTTAGGGTGTGAATTTGTAATGTAGTATCATGTACTTGAGAGCTCCCTGATCATGTTAAGTAGTAATATCTCACCAGATTTTCCACTGGGTATTTCTAGTTGTCTTTAGAGTATTTAAAGCTATAGAGTTCAGGGTTGCTAGATATCAAAGAAATCCTTCAAATTCTTTTTTAAAATGTTAACTCTGTCTTTCAAGTAGTCCTCCTAGATCCATTAGATGGTTATTCTTCTGGTGAGGAGGAACACTCTCCTTATCTCTGCCCCCTGGCTTCCTTCAAGTCTCACTTAAATTCCCCACCTTCTGTAAAAGTCTTTTCCCAGTCTTCCATAATCTTTGTGCCTTCTCTCTGATTGTGTCTCCAGTTTATCCTGTAGGTATCTTGATTGTCCATAGTTGTTTTCATGTTGTCTCCCTCATTAAACTAGAAGCTTCTTGAGAACAGGGACTGGTTTTGCCTTTGTATCGTCAGCACTTAAAGTGCCCAGTGCCTGGCACCTAATAAGTGCTTAATAAATGCTGGGTGACTGTCTGACTGATTAACTGATTGACTAAGAAAGAAACTTTTTTTTTGGTGCCCTGGAAGAAATCTTTTTTTTCCTCTCCATTCACAAAAAGTAGTATATGCTAATTCAGATTCCCTACATTATTATAAATTTCATTTAAATGAATTTTAAAACACAAGTCTAGCCATGTTACTCCCCTGCTCAAGAACCTTCTTCCCAGAACAAGAACTTTGCTCCCTGAACAAATCACTTCAATTATTGCCTCTATGATAAGATACAAAAATCTGTTTTTAGCATTTAAAATCTTTCATATCTGATTCCATCCTACCTTTTTAGGCTTACTCTCTTTACTCCCTGTTATGTGCTATATGTTCCAGCTAAATTAGCCTGCTTTCTTTTCCCTCAACATTCCATCTTCCGTTTTCATGCCTTTATTCAAGGCTTACCTGTATTACTGGAAAACCCTCCCTTTTCACTTCCACTTCTTATAATCCCTAATTTTTCTCAAGGCTCAACTATAACCTTCTATACAAAACTTTTCCTCCTCTTCCTAGTTATTAGTGTTCTTTCCTTCCATAAGTAATTTTACATATGCTTATCTGTTTGAATGTTGTATTCCCTTAGTAGAATGTTTCCTGTTAAGGGAAGGGATTGTTTTTCATTTTGTATCTTTTGTCCTAGCACAAGTGTAGGGAGCCTGTGGCCTCGAGGCCACATGTGGCCCACTAGGTCCTCACATGCGACCCTTTGACTGAATCCAAACTTCACAGAATTTGTTCTGTGAAGTTTGGATTCAGTCAAAGGGTCGCACAGAACAAGATTTGTTCTGTGAAGTTTGGATTCAGTCATAGGGTCGTATTTGAGGACCTAGAGGGCCACATGTGGCCTCAAGGCTGCAGGTTCCCCACCCCTGTCCTAGCACAATGCCTTGCAAATAGTAATGAGTACTGATACAAATAACCCAGTACACTAAAATGTCTATTATCACTAATCTATTGTTTTTGCTTTTTAAAAATTATATTTTATTAATAATTTTTATGACACATTTATTTCTTAATATTCTCCTCCCTCATTTATTCAGTGAGCTATCTCATCCTGTGTGGCAAAGATTAAAAGATGGGGGGGAAAGCAATTCTGTAAAGTTGACTAAACACATCTGACTATGGATGCAACATTCCCCATCCATAATCTCTCACCTTTTCAGTGAAGGGAAAGAACGTATTTTGTATTTAGTATTTAGTATTAGGGATGGGTGGGAAGGGGAAGATATTCTTTCATTTCTATTACACGCATACACACACATAATGTATATGACTACATATATTTTTTCCTGGTTCTGCTTGCCTCACTCCCATGAATTCATATATGTCTTTCTGTCTTCCTCTGAATTCTTCATATTAGTAATTTTTATAGTACAGCAATATTCCATTATATTCATGTGTCATAGTTTGTTTAGCCATTTTTTCATCAGTAGGCATCCACTTTGCTTCCACTTCTTTGATAATATAAAAGACGCTGCTATAAATATTTTAGTATATATGGGATCTTCATTTCTCTCTTCAACTTTCTTCAACTTTCTTAGGAATGGGATCTCTAAGTCAAAGGGTATGCACAATTTAGCCATTTGTTAAACATAATTCTAATTTATACTAGGTTTCTTGAAGTTTTTTTTTTATCAAGCACTTGTTTTTTCTCCCTTTTTTTAGTTATCAAGCACTTGTTTTTTTCTTGCTCTCACCTCTGCACATACATCCCCACTGGAAAAAAAAAAATTAAAGCAAAACCTTTTAACAAATATGCATAGTCAAACAAAACAAAGAACCTGTATTGGCTATGTCCAAAAATGTGTGTCTCATTCTTCATATGAATCCATCACCTTTCTATCAGAAGACAGGTAGCATTCTTCATCATTAATCCACTGGAATTATGGCTGGTTAATAGTTTGATCAGAGTTCTAAAGTCTTTCAAAGTTGTTTCTCTTTGCAGTATGTTATTATTGTATAAATTGTTTATCTGGTTCCATTGACTTCACTCTACATCAATTCATACAAGTATTCCCAGGTTTCTCTAAAACCGTCTATAAATATTTTCTCAAGTGTAGATCCTTTTTCTCTTTCTTTGAAATCTTTGGGATATAGGCCCAGTAGTGGTATTGCTGAGTCAAAGGGCATACATAGTTTAGTGTACTAGTATACTTGGGCATAGTTCTAAATTACTTTTCAGATTGTTTGGACCAATGCACAGCTCTACCCACTGCATACTAATGTGTCTTTCTTCCTGTAGCCCCTCTTATGTTGACTTATTTCCATCTTTTGTCATCTTTGTCAATGTGCTGCATGTGAAGGAAAACCCTAGAGTTCTTTTCATTTCATTTAGCTTATTTAACTGACACTTTTAAAAGAATTTTTTTTGTACTGCTTCAGAAATGCAGGTCAAATAATAGTAGTAATAGGCATTTTGCCCATTTTAAAATTTTCCCTTGAATTTTAATTCATAAAATGAATCTAAAGTGTATTTTATTAATAATCCATAAGTCTTTAAAATTTGCTTTAATAAATATACAACATTCAGTGACTAGTGTTTTCTATTATGTAGGTTCAAGCACAGCTTTTGCAGTTTGCAGCAAAAAACATTGGTCTCAACCCTGCACTATTAACCTCGCCAATTAATCCTCAGCATATGACGATGTTGAACCAGCTCTATCAACTGCAGCTGGTGAGTTAATAAACATGCAGATAGTAGAATAGATTTGAAGAACAAAAGGAAAGTGTTTTTTTGACACTTATCCACTGCTTTGTTTTTCCCCATACTCCTTAAACAAGCAACTAAATTTTAAATTCTTAGTCCGTATTAGCTAGACATATATTAATAAATACATATGACAGATTACTTATCATATAATAATATACTGTTCATATTTCCCTAAAGTTTCTACACCTTTTTAAAAATAATTATCATAAAAACAAATTATCACACATTGGTAAGGTTGCTCTTGTTAGTGGGTTATATTTTTTGTTGTAACCCTAGATTGTATGTACATTGATTTTATTATGTGCAATAAAAGACCAAATTTGTTTATTACTGAAAACAATAGTGCTTCATTTTTGTGGAAGTAACTTATTTGACGTCCTCAATTATGGAGCATTACCAAGTATCAGAAGGAAATATAAAAAGGCCTCTGTGCTTCTAAAATGAAATCACTAAAGCTTTTATTGTTACATTCGTAGGAGAAAACCCTCAAGATCAGCATAGTAACTTTTATTTTAGATTCAATTTTAATAATTGTAGTCAAATCGTGTGCAAGTAGGAAATTAGAAGCAAACATCAGTGAATGTACTGAAAAAATATATAAAAAGCAGGCATAAGCTAAAAAAAAAAGGTAACAGTCTGGAGTGATTCATAGTGATTTAGCAATTATAGAGCCCAATAATCTTCAGTAATTCCTGAGGACATCGCATTTCAAGATAGTACAATAACTGATATTCATAATAACCAAGTATCAAGGTAAATGTAAGAAAACAAGAAAAGATTTTACTGTAGTCCATAGAGAAGATATATTACATATTTGAATTATTTTTATCCAAAATTATCAAAATTTCAAGTTTAGCACTTGAAGGGGAAAATTCACACCTTATAATATCAGTGTATTAATAGTATCAAACCAACTAGGTTGCACAATGAATAGACTACTGGACTTAGAATCAGGAAGTCAGACCTGGGTTCAATCCTGGCACAGACACTAGTTATGTGACCCTGGGCAAGTCACTTAACCTTCTTCAGCTTCAGTTTCCTCACTAGTAAAACGGAAATAGTTATAGCACCTACCTCACAGGGTTGTTGTGAGGATCAACTGAAATAACATATGTAAAGCACTTTGTAAACCTTAAAGCACTGTATAAATGCTAACTAAAATGGCTTAAAATATTTATAGTTTTGGCCACCAAATAATACCTATTCCAGTAAGCAGTCTATTTTATCTTATCCACTTTTAATAAGAAAAGTTGGATTTTACTCTTTGAATTTAATCAGTACCTAAGTTTTGTGCTCAAGAAAATATCCACAGGTTTCTTGCCAAATTTTTGAATGATAAAGGAAAATGACAGCGTAAAATTTTCCCAAATATCTAACGTACAGAGGGTCAACACTAAGGGTGTTTTCATCAATGCTTTATTGATAGCTTCTCAGCTCCAAAAGACTTCTCCTATAATTTGTACTATATTTCTCTTAGGTTGAGCTCCCAGTAATATATGTTAAAAATGATCTTCTGAACTTGTAGTATTTATGATCTTTTATAATTTTTAACACATTTTTTGTTTATCTGGGACAACCTAATGCTGGTGTTGTGCCAAGTTGTTTGAGCCATTCTGGACAACTTTACTCCAAATCATTATTAGAATAAATATTTTTTCATTGCTTTCCCTCACTTTTTCAATGTTTAATTTATATTAATCAAGCCGAAGGATTTTGATGTCATCCTGAACTGAACAACATTAAATGTGGGGGTATTAGCATAGCTACCCAAAACTTTTTAGTGTATTCAGTTTCTCAATAAGACCGTAATCTTTTTTAAATTGTTTTTTGCCAGAAAGTATACTTTAACAATAGTGACTACTGTTAGGAATCCAAGAATTCTGGGAATTTGTATTTTTATTTTTGACCCAACAGCAGAAATTGAACTATTTAAAAGAGTCTTTCATATGATCATTACACTCTCATTTTTCTGCCAACAGGCATACCAACGTTTACAGATCCAGCAGCAGATGTTACAGGCCCAACGTAATGTTTCTGGACCGATGAGACAACAAGAGCAGCAAGTGAGTATTCACTCCCTAATTACATTTTCTTTATATTATCACCTTGAACACTAATCTATAATGTCTGCTGACATGAGGAATTTCAGATAGTGAAATAATGTAATTGTTTACCCCTGAGCAAATAAAAAAATAGCCTTGTGATCTGATAAATTTAAAAGATTTCAAATCTAATGTTATATAAGTCATCCAGCTATAGTGAAAGAAAAGCAAACATTTTAACTAAAAGAAAGAAAATTTTCTAGCTGAAAACAATATAAAATTGGTAAATTGTTCTGAACTTACCAAAATTCTCTTTTTTTTTTTTCTCTTCCCAGGTTGCACGTACAATCAATAACATGCAGCAGCAGATCCAGCAGCACCAGCGGCAGCTGGCCCAGGCCTTGCTCATGAAACAGCAGCAGCCTCCCCCTCCACATCTCTCTTTGCACCCCTCTGCAGGCAAATCAGCCATGGAGAGCTTTTCACCCCATCCCCAGGGTCCTGGCCTACCTGACCTGCAGACCAAAGAGCAACAGTCTTCAATGAACACCTTTGCTCCTTACCCAAGTCTCGGTGAGCACCTTGTTTTTGAAACAGTCACTTAAAAGAAAAGAAGTTTTAATGAGGACTATGAATACCAAGCAGTTAAACTTTTATTCTCTAGGCAGGGCAAAGGCATTGAAAGTTTTTGAACTGGGAAACAACATTATAAAATAGAAAATATTTTTTCCCATAATAGAAGTAATGAGACTGGAAGATTTGTCTTTTTTAAAAGTATTTCACCAGCCTCAATGATTAATCTGATTTTTAAAACTTTTTTATACTGCTTTAAATTTACTGACCTTTTTATAGCATCTTAACCTTGTACTTGTACCGTTGAATTCTTGGATAGGAAGCTATATCCTAATATTTGTTTAACAAATGTAAGCTTGCCCTTGACCTCTGCCAGGATTTTCATTATCTGGCAATTGTCATATGCCAGAATTAAAGATTAGAAAACAACATTTTTGTTAGCTGTTGTTTCCCAATCAGTTATCAAATTCTGGCTAGTATCCTTATTATAGAAGTTGTTGTCATAGCCTTTTTTGGCTATTCATCTTTAGATATGAGCCAGTTGCCAGAATTCAGCTCTAAGAAATATATTAAAGTTGTCTAAGCACTTTGACTGATAACTACAGCCAAGGTATAATTGGTAACCCTGGGTTCCAAAATTGAGCTATTCTTTAGAATTACTTTGTTATTTAATTCATGTATTCTTCAAGGTCAGGATTCTAAATGAAGTTCTGCAAAGATGGTATTATAGGCCGCTTGACTCCCATTCCAGGAAGACTTGAGTTTGAATCTTTCCTCAAATAGCACCTAGTGTGACCCTGGGCAGATCACTTACCCTTTATGAGCCTCTGTTTCTTCCTCTGTAAATTGAACATAATAGCACCTAGGGGTAGGTAGATGGTGCAATGGATAGAGTGCTGGGCCTAGAGTCAGGAAAACTCAGTTTCCTGAGTTCAAATCTGGCCTCAGATACTTACTAGCTGTTACCCTGGATAAGTCACTTAACCCTGTTTGCCTTAGTTTCCTCATCTGTAAAATGAGCTGGAGAAGTAAATGGAAAACCACTCTGATATCTTTGCCAAGAAAACCCCAAATGGGGTCACAAAGAATCGAACATGACTGAACAACAAAAGCACCTACTTCAAAGAGTTGTTATGAGGATCAAATGAGATGATATTTGCAGATCCTACTTTCTATAATGTCCCTGTTGCTGTGAGGAACACCACTATGCTCCCAGTCACCCTGGCTCATTGTTATAGGTGTCAACTTCAATTTCTCATTCTCTCACCCTTTCCCCATATCCAATCAGTTGCCAAGTTCTGTTGTTTCTATCTTTGTAACATCTCTCATACACCTTCTTCTCTCCTCTGACACTGCCACCAACCTGCTATAATGAGGCCTTCATTACCTGTTGCCTGGATTATTACAGTAGCCTGCTGATTGGTCTCCCTGTCTCAGGTCTCCCCCACTCCCCCACATCCTCCAATCAGCTGTCAACCTAAAGCACAGATTGGATTGTGTCACCCTCACACACACACAACCCATTCAAGAAACTCCAGTGGCTCCCTGTTGCCTCCAGGATCAAATGCAAAATGCTCGTAATGGCTTTTAAAACCCTCTGTAATCTGGCCCCTTCTTGCTTTTCCAGTTTTTTTAATACTCTACATACCTCCCCTCCCTCTGATATCCAGCAATACTGTCCTTCTTCTTGTAGCTCTCACTAAACCTTTCGTCTCCCAACTCTGAGCATTTTTGCTTGCTATGCCCATGCTTGGAACTGTCTCCCTCCTCGTCTCTGTCTTCTAGCTTCCCTGATTTACTACAAGTCCCAGCTAAAATCCTGCCTTCTACAGGAAGCCTTTCCCAATCCCCCGTTAGAGGTTGTAAGAGGCAAGAGGGAGAATTAAGGTGAGGGTAATGCCTTTGATTCTCCAGTTTGACTTGTATTTAGTTTGTTTGTACATAATGGTTTGTTGTCTCTCACAGTAGACTGTGAACTTGTTGAGACAGGACTTTACTCTTCAATTTCATCTAATTAGATTTGGCCTGTCACTTCAGACTATGTAGATCTGTTTGTATCTTAATCCTCTAATGCAAAGTGTTAGCTGTTCTTGTAAACTGAAAATTTGATGTGGATTCTCTCTATCCCTTCATCCCTTTAATGTAGACATCATTTCTATGTCCTCTGTCAAGGAGAATGATATTCAGACAAAATACAGTCAACATGAGTAAAAGTGAATTGAAGCCCACAGAGGGCATTCTAAATACACTCAAGTCTCCTGGCCCAGACTCATTCCAAAGTACTAAAGAATTTATAGATATGACTACTTAATTCTTGCCAGTACCCTTTGAAGAATCATAGAGAATGAGAAAGATGCCACAATACTGGAAATGGGCAGATGTTGATGCAATTTTCATAAAGTGGAGAATTGGTAGATCCCAGAAATTATAGACTTCAGTTTGATATTATCTTTATTATCAAAGATGGTTGAGGGAGAGGAACTAAATTTATTCTATGTTGGAGGGACTAACTAGAACCAGTGAGTATAAATTATAAGAAGCTGGATTTTAACGGTATGAGAAAGAATTTCCCAACAGTTATAATAGTCAGAAAGTGAAGTGAGCTATTGAATGAAGTAATAGATTCCTCATCACTAGAAATGTTCTCATAGAACATCCTAGACCAGACCTGCACAATCTGTAGCCCACCAAAGGATTTCCTCTACATACAAAAGATGTTTTCCTCTACATTTTTCGAGGGCCCCCTAAAGTCCTTTGATGTACCGCAAGCAGCCTGAGGGCCACAGGTTGTACAGGCCTGTCCTGGACCAAATGCTACATGACAGCTCCCCTTTTAACTTTCTTTCCTCCCTGTTCTTCCTCCTAGAAGAGGACACAGCTATTCTTCTACCAGGGCGGGTAAGAGCTGATGCTCCACAGCCTTTCCTGTGTGTGCAACACCCCAGATAAACAAAGCTTTGGAGTTGTAGACCCTCCCAACTGATCCTAAGAAAGAACTTTCTGTCTTAAACAGGTTTCTGGATTTCATTTTTTTCATTGCCCAGGTCATTTCAACAGTGATTTATTTAGTATCTACTATGTGCTAGGTAATAGATATAGAAGCACCAAAATAAAATAGTCCTTACTGTGATGGAGATTACATTATTTGGAGGGGAATATGTATACAGAGAGAAGTATAGATAAAACATATACAAAATTAATTTAGAAAAGAGGAACACTAAAAACTAGGCAATTGGAAAGACCTAATAAAGTGGTTCATCAGCTGAGTTTTGAAATGAGCAAGGGGTTCCAAAAGTGGAGATGGAGAGGGAGAGCATTCCAGGTCTGTGAAATTGCCTATGCAAAAGTATGATGATGGGAGATGGATGTTATATACACAGAAAAGCAAAGTAGGTGGCCAGTTTATTTGGCTGGACCATAGAGTATGCAAGGGAAAGTGATGTGTAATTATCCTGGAAAGGAAGGCTAGAGCCAGATTATGAAGAGGCATTTTTATTGTATCTCAGAGGCCATAGTGAGCCTCTAAAGGTTCTTTAATTGGAGAGTGATGTAGTCTGTGCATTAGGAATGCCAATTTGGCAGTTATGTGGAATATGGACTATAGAGGGAACTTCGGACAGGGAGACCAGTGGGGAAACTGTTGCCTCCTTTAGTGCTAAATGAGAGACAGAGAAAGCCTAAAACAGGGGGAGTGTCATGTGAATGCTAAGAAGAGGAGTATACTAACACTCACTAGCTGTGTGACTCTGGGCAAGTCACTTAACCCCAATTGCCTCACCAAAAAAAAAAAAGGAGTATACAAGAGGGATATGTGGAGATAAAAATATCAAGACTTAGCCACTTTAATATGGGGCATGGGTGAGAGCAAAGGGTATTAGATGACTCCTAGGTTGAGTACATGGGTTACTAGAAGAATGATAGTGCCTTCAGAAAAAGCAAGGAAATAGATGGAAGATAGTGTTGGGGGCAGGGGGAGGAATAGTAAATTTTAGACGCTTATGCAACATCCGGGCAGCATTGTCAAGCAGGTAGTTGAAGGTCTGGAACCAGAGCTGAAGAGAAAAATGATGACTAGATATATACATTTGGGAGTTATCTGCAGAGAAATCATAGTTTCATCCATGAGAGGTAATAAAATCTCCAGGAAAGAAATTGTAGAAAGAAGAGAAGACCCAAGACAAAACCCTACATTAGAGGCATGCAGACTCAAAGAGGAAGGATATGAATGAAGAGAATGAGAAGGATCAGTCAGTCAGGTAGGGGGCAAAAACAGGAGAGATCAGTGTCACAAAATCCCTGGGAGGGGAGAATATTCAGAAAGAGAGATGGTCAGCAATGGCAAATACTGCAGAGAAATCAGGAAGGGTGAGGACTAAGAAGAAGCTACTGGATTTAGCAATAAACAAATCATTAGATGAATAGAATTTTAGAAAAGTTAGATATGATAGACCTCTGGTGATAATTGAATGGGAATAGAAAGGAATATACGTGGTATCTACACAAAAATTGACCATGGGCATAAGTTGACCAGGGCATAAAAATCTCACAACCAAATGCAGCAATATTAAATGCATCCTTTTCAGATCACAGTACAATAAAATTACATTCAATAAAAGGGCTGTCGAAACATAGATTAAAAGTTAATTAGAAGCTAAATAATCTAATCCTAAAGAATGAGTGGATAAAAGAACAAATCATAGAAACAATCAAGAATTTCATTAAAGAGAATGACAACAATGAGACAACATACCATAATTTATGGGATGCAGCCAAAGCTATAGTTAGGGGAGATTTTATATTTTTAAATGCTTATATAGATAAAATAGAGAAAGAGCAAATCAATGAATTGGGCATGCAACTTAAAAAAAGCTAGGTGAACAAATTTAATATCTTCAGTTAAACACCAGATTGGAAGTCCTGAAAAATCAAAGGAATGATTAATAAAATTGAAAGTAAAAAAAAAAAATCATTGAACTAATAAATAAAACTAGGAACTAGTT